CCCATACACACACATACACTGCAATACTCACACACTGCAACTGTTACACACACATACTGTCCCACACATACACTGCATCCCTGACATACACTGCCGCCCTCACACACACTACAACCTTCACACACACACACTGATCACACACTGTCCCCCTCACACACACACACACACACTGCGCCCCTTACCCATTGCACCACTCACACACACCACTGCTCCTATGCCCCTTCTACTGCCCCATTTCCCATCAGACCTCAGGTAAGTTGTCAAACTGTTCTTAAACGGTTTGACTACTTACTCTTGGAGGGGGTCCCGGCACTATTGACACCATAACCACTACACTGAGCTGTAGTGGTTATCGTGTCTGGATTATTTCTTTAAATAATCTACAAGTGCCCCTCCCGAGATCAGGCTCTGGATCCGCCACTGACTGGGACAGCAACAAGAATAATTGGCTTTCACTTTTAAAGCAACATGTCAAATTAAAAAGATTTAAATTTAAAAAGCAAACTCACCTCGTTTGTATTTATGGATCATCCAACACACAATGAGAGAAAGCATAGGAGGGTACTAGAACAATGGACCAAAGACTTTTTTCTAAAATGGCATAATATAAATGATCAATAATTTAAAACATGAGAAAAATATATCTTGTGTTTCAGTAATAATTATGCTAAGATACATATTAGATGTTTCATTTACACTGGTATACAAAAGAAAGAGCAATCAAAGAAAATGAATAATGTGTATCTTACAAAAGCTAACTATCGCTCATATTAAAATTAATTCATTCATTCTTGATTAGGTTTTCTTGGCTCAAAATAATCTTGACTTACCCAGTAGGCATTATTTACGATAATTGGGAAAGCTTAGATAAAAATTTGGAAAACAATGAAAGTAGGAGGAAACTAGGTGAAGTCTAAAAGAACCCTGATAGACTTGGAGATTTGGTTTTGGAATAATCCCGATTCAGCCGAATTTTGGCAGATCAGCTGTTCATCCAAAAGAAACAACTTCCAGACTGTCACATATCCTAATCCTGAATCATTGTGCCATTAACTGTGCCATTCGGGTTGCTTTGGGATTCGGGGTTAAGTACTTGCCAGACTATTTTGCACCCTAGGCAAGACCAGCTGCTTGCACCTGCCAACAAAACAAAAATTGCCTTCATTGTGTGTCTCTTTCTTCCCCCAGCCCCTTTGTACATCTCTTTTTCCCCTTCCTCAGTCCTTCTACGTGTCTCATCCCTCCCAGCACCTTTGTGTAATATTACCACATAATCAGGGCCGGGTTAAAACATAGGGGCTGATGGAGCTACAGCTCCAGGACCATGCCCATTGAGTAAAAAAGAAGAAAACTTTTTTTTTTACACACTACTCTTAGGGATGCACCTGGCTGGTATTTTACCTGCTGCTTGATCAGTGCCTGTATTGCAGTATTACTAGAAATACAAATGCCGGTATTTTTCTCAGTACAAACAGAGATTACTCTGCAATACCAGCACTGGCCAGTAGGGGTCGGTGTGTGGATAGAGGCAAGGATGGGAAGTTATAGCATATCCCCACCTCTCTCTACTCACTGATCTGCAGGGGGGGGGGGCAGCTACACACCACAATGAGTCCAGACAGCAGCTCACAGTCTGCAGAGACAGCCTACAGCTCAGGTAAGTAAGGGAATGGGGGGAAAGGCTCCAGGGAGACACAGGGACACTGGGAGACACTAGGGGACACTGGGAGACCTGGGGACACTGAGACACTTGGGGACACTGAGACAATAGGGGATGCTGGGAGACATGGGGAAGCTGGGAGACACTGAGACATTTAGAAACTGGGAAACGTGGGGAAACTGAGACACTTGGGGAAACTGAGACACTAGGGACACAGTATCTGTCTCCCATTGTCCCCGTTTCTCCCAGCCAGTGTCCCTAGTGTCTCAGTGTCCCCTAGCCTCCCAGTGTCCCTAGTGTCTCAGTGTCCTCTAGTCTCCCAGTGTCTCGTGTCCCCTAGTGTCCTTAGTCTACCAGTGTCCTCTAGTCTCTCAGTGTCCCCATGTTGCCCAGTGTCCCTTAGTGTCTGTGTCCCCATGTCTCCCAGTCTTCCCATGTCTCTAGAACACTAGGGGACACTGAGACACTAGGGGACACTGGAGAGACCGAGATGCTTGGGGACACTGATACACTTGGGGACACAGGGAGACATTGGGACACTGAGTGCCACCATGTCTCCTAGTGTCCCCAAGTGTCTCAGTATCCCCATGTCTCCCAATGTCCCCAAGTTTCCTAGTGACATGGGGACACTGGGGCAGAGACACTAGGGGACATTGTGAGACATGGGGACATGGACACTTGGGGACACTGAGAGATGGGGACACTGGGTAACATGGAGACACGAGGGGACACTAAGAGACATGGGGCACTAAGACACTGATACATAGGGGACACTGAGACCCAGGGACACTGGGCAACTGAGACACTGGGAGACAGAGAGACACTGGGAGACAGAGAGACACTGGGAGCAATCCATCTATACGGCGGAATCAAACTGTAAGTAGTTTTTGGGTGATTTTACGGAATTTTCTCTTATGTCACGCATACATAATTCATTATGCAAATTAGTAAGGCCGGTATTTTTTTCCAAGAAAGGTGGCAACCCTAACTACTTTTCACATACTCTTGCTTAAGTATGGAAACTTAAGAGGGATGTATGGGAACAAAACTTGTGTGGAAAGGCTCACAATGAAATTACTTAAGGTAATGCTGACTTTGGTCTAACACTGTGGCATTGCCTTTCTTCTACACTCAATAGATACAACTTTCTCTGCCCCAGACTATATACCAGGAGTTTCTGACTGCTAGTAAGGAGGTAAGGAGACAAGTGGACCAGTGAGTGCTAGGGGACAGTCCTTAGAAAGAGTGGAGTGAGCATTTATGCCAAGCACAGAGGTCTGTCTGCATAGTGTGCCCTTAGTTGGCCAGCCTGCATGATTGACAGACAGCCTGATATGCATTTATGCCAGGCAGACATGCCCACTTTTTGGGCATGTTCACCCCTTTCAACAGCTCTGGTTACATGATTCGCGTCAGTGGCACACCCTTTTAGCCTGCCAATTGACTTCCTCCTTCACTGGACTATGCTGTTAGGAATATGGATTTACTTGAAAGATGAAAGCGAGTGATTAGCACTGGGTACCTGTTTTCTTATAGTTGCATCCTATGAGTTTCACTCCAGCACCATCTCCATCAGATACATGACTCTTGGGAGTTATGACTGTTTTAGTGTTTTTGGTTGATAAGATTCTGTAATTATGCCCATCGTAATTGTCAGCTTCAGGCCCATTGGGCTCTTAATCTGGCCCTGCACATAATAGTTGTGTGGATGAATACTTTTCTATGTTTCCTTTTGTTTCAATTTGTTAATTTTCAGATATCAGTTTGTCTGAAATTCAGAAAATATTGATTCAAATATATCAAATTTCGTCTAAAAAGTTAATTTACAAAATTCAGAAGCCCATTGTACCCTATAAGGAATGAATGAAGGTGGCAGTCAAAAAGATAAAGAGTAAAAATTTAAGGAGTTATCTGGTAAACTGCTGAAAGAGCATAATTAATACAAATGACCAAATTAGGGAACTACTTGCTAAACAGTGGTCTAATAAGGGAACCCCCACATACAGGTACCAATTTAGGAAGCAAATTAGGAAAATCCCTTTTCTTAATTTTACTCATGTAGTTCTTTAGTAGATAGGTTCTTAATTTGATATCCTAAATTATGGCAATTCTACATAAGGAGAGCAAACTGGGAGATATCTACTAAACAGATAAAGGATAAATATTAAGAAAATCCCTTATCAAAACTAATGGATCTGAAATAATTTGTTTCTATTCATTTCAAATTTGTTCATTTTTGTTTAGTTTTTGTTTCAATCAATTCAGAAATTCAATTGCTTCCAAATTGTGAAATTTGGTCACATTTGGATAAAATTTGATAAACATTTGGATAAACATTTGGATAAACATTTGGATAAAATTTGAAAAACAAACTGCACATGCCTATCTCCTACCTCAAAATTCCTGACAGTTATCTTGGGCAAATTTTAAACACAGGGTGAGACTGGGGGTTTGGGCCATCTGGTCCACATCTGTCTATTATCCTACCATCCCAGATCTCCAAGTATTACATAATTCCTTCACTGTCAGTAGTGAACCCTCACCTCACCTGAATGCACATAGGGTGAGAAAAGACCACATGTCAAGTCAAGCATTCATTTTTTACTTAAATTATGTATGCACTCACTCACTCACATCAATATATCTATACATAGCAGAGGTCAATCTGGTTGATCTACAGAGACCATGATTCTTTACAAGCTAATTTGTAGATGTAACCATTCTGGTAGTGCACCTGCATTCTCCTAAGCTCTATTCTTGTGGCACCTCATCTAAATGGACTGGTGTTATCACATGATAGGCCATCCAATACATTTCAGGGATCCATCTCCATCTTCTTCTTGTGCTCTTGTAGAGGAAGAAACCGAGATTAGTATAGAGGACTCTTCACCTTCTCTTCACCTTCTAAACTTTCTTCTGTCATATTGCTACTACTGCTGTCTCCTGTCATGTTCAGATTTATATTCCCTCTTGTTTCTCACCTGTCCCCACCAATTCTTCCTTTTTACTCCCTCCTGCCTCCCCTTCTCCTTTTCCACCCTTTCTCCACTGGCATGCCTGTGGCAGGCTTGTTGGCCCAGGACCCCCGCTGCCATGGTACCTCTGTGTAGGCTACCAGAGACCTGCCGGTTTCTCTGTCTGCCTTGTGTATTCCTGTGGCTTATGCCAGTAATGGCAATGTCGTGAACACCGGAAGTGATGTGGTCATCAGTTCTAGTTCAGCTGATCACATGACTTGCAGTGATGGGGACTTGCAGTTGGAAGCATTTTGGGATGTTTGGGGATGGCTGAGCCAACACTCTCACCTTTATTCTGTTAAAGGAGACAGGCTTTCCCCAGCTCATATGGTTTTGGAGTCTATGTCTGTTAGGGTTTCTGTCGGCATTGAGGGCGCTGTGCGGGACCTACTGGGTTGACATGGATTGCTGCCCTTGCTGATGGGTGGCATATCCGTTTCTGTGGGTGTTGACAGCACCGCTGCTGGGGCTCCATGATCTACTGGGGACAGGAGATTCAAGCTCTTATTGTGGGCCATGTCAGCTGTGGAGCTGCCAGCTATGTCGATTTTATATGCACTGCTATGTATTGTGCGCTTTTTAAATTTTTTGGGTTTTAAATAGTCTGTGTCCAAAGCAGTGGGTAGCGCCACTTTGCTGCACTGTCAAGACAATATATTTGTCAGTCCTGCCAATTCTCTGTATTTCTTCTTCTTGATGTTATTTATAAAGCAGCTAATGGCTGAGTTGGATAGGACAAGTTGGGGAGGACTTCCAAAGTTCTATCAATTCTTAGAATTGAGTTTAACACCTGATTAATGCTGTGAAGGGTCCTTAAGGATAAGGTTGACAAGATATTATTTGTGGGTAATACATCTACAGCGGCTTGTGCACTGTCTTGCAGGGTTTCACCCATCAGTAGGGTTTTCAATAGGTATCTGGAGGCAGCCCTCCATGGTGGGTCCTCAGGCAAACTTCGGATTCTTTTTTCTAATGACATGGTTAAGGATTTGTGAGTCTGGGAGTGTTGTTTTTCAGGATTTCAATGGAACTCGCTTATGGCATTCAGGACCTTCTTTGAACCAATCACTCCTGTATCATGTGTTCACAGTTGCTTCTGTGGCATATCTGTGATCATCTGGAAGGGAACTGGAGTTCCACCCAATGGACCTCCCGTTAGTATGTTGGGGCTTCACCAACAAGTTGACGTTACAGGAGCTGTTTTCTGTAGTCATGGTGGTGGAGTTATGGTGCTCTTTCTTGAGTAACTGCTCGGTAGTTTTTTAGTCTGATAATCAGTAGATCTATGGCCATTACACCATTAACCGTCTATCTCCCCTGGTGGTTAAGTTGCTCCGGCTGTTCATTCTTCGTTACCTGCAAGTTAATATTCACTTGATGGCTAATCACACTTTAGCGGATGCCTTTCCACTTTTCAGTGGGATATTTTTTTTTTATCCCTTGCTGCTTCTGCTGCATTTGCGATGACAATGGTAGTTCTGTCCCCCTCTAGTTCCTGGGTACCCAATACCTTCTCTGACTCATTCTCCCTTTTGCCATCATTGCCATGGAGTGTTCCTCTGCTTTTGTGGTGGCTCTGTTTAGGGCAAAGTTTTCCTTTGCTTTTTATGGCGCTCTTTTTATGGCTAGCTTTTGGCCCCTTGTTCCATTGCAGTTCACATACTTCTGTTTCTCTCCAGGCTGTTTTGCTAATAAAGTCCTGTTCTATGTCTGACCTGGAGGCATGAAGTGTTTGGTTGTCACTTTCTTCCTTATCTGGTAAGTCACTTTGCCCTGTGAAGCTGTTTGGCTTTTTTGTGCACTTGCATTCTCTAGGTTGCTCTTAGTTCTTCATCCATGAGGATGGGTCGGTGCTAACAAGCTCTTACAGTTGGCTGGTCTACAGACTGGTTTGTATTCTTGTAATATTACTTCACATTCATTTAGGATTGGTAACTTTCCCAGCCTCCTTGGGCCATCCTTCTGATGTCCTGCGCAGATTGGGGCAATTAAAGTCTCAGTGCTATAAGTTGCATGTTCATGCCCTTTCGTCAGCGTCGTATGCCTCTAGTTTGGTATCTCAACCGCCCCATTTACACATGCATGCACTTAAGTTATCTTAAGTTTTAGGAGGGGGGGAGGGTTCTAGGGGTTGAGTGGTGTTTATTAAGGACATAGGGATTTACCCCTTATGTGCCACAGAGAAAAGGAGTTTGCAAGACTTTTTCTGTGGCATTGAATTATTGAATTATATAGTAAAGGAATGAATTGTATAGTAATGTCAAAAGCATAATTAAAAAATTGTGAGGTGTATATTTATTTAACAAAAAATTATGGTATGGCATTTTTAGGTAGTTCAGGGATTCAGGGAGAACTTTCACGAGTGGACTACAAACATTATTTGGAGGAAAGAAAAAGGCAGGAGATATCACGTTAAAAAAAATTAATATATAATAATTACCGGAATCAGACAGGATTTACTGGTCTGATGATTATGTAGAAATATTTTAACACAATTATGCTCTGTTAGATAATTCATCACCATGATCTCAACTTTAATTCCTTTCTGCTGTTTAAGATCTCTTACAGAGAAATACTCCTTACAAAGCTGTGCTCATTTTCTTAGCCAAGTGAATGCTCTTGTTTTATAATAATTGACTACTAAATGTATCTACATTTAAATACCACATTATTCAAAGCTATATGGACTTACTTTAGTTGGTAGTAATTTCCTGTAATGAGCTTGTCTTGTGACTGTTTTGCTCTGGTATCTGTCCTTATACAGGCATGCGTTTTCTATCCTCTCAAAGTTGGTCATTACAGGAAGAACCTGTGTCCCAGCTTCTGAATGCAATCACTGCTCCTTCACCAGTGCAAATAGAAAAGATGGTTTCTTAGCCTCTTCACCTCCATATATCATATACAAGATAAAACATATTACAGTTGTTTAACTTAGGAGGAACCAATTGGCAGGAGATGTTCCCCAGGGCAGTTGGAGGCAAGAGGAAGATCCATCTCACAGATCAGGAAGAGGATCCACCAATAATGGATCTCTTATTCTGGTCTATGTTATTTTATCTTATCACGTAATCTTCTTTTGAGTGGGAGATATGGATTTTACGATATATATGGTTCAGTCTACAGTTCTACTCATCACAAAGAATGAATGGAAATACTTAGCAAACAGAAACAGCCATATTGCTCTTTATGAGTTTATACACATAGAATCAGACTATGCAAGCATGGCTAACCTCAAGCTCTCTTCTGAGCTGGAGAAAGCAGGGGAGAAGGGTCTGTCCAAGTTGTATGTACATTGCACATACAACTTGGACATATATTTGAAGTCACAGCCATGGGTGCAGCCTTATAGCGGCAGAGATATTTGCAAGTTTATATAGGTTGCTGGGGTGGAAGAGAGGAAGAGGATACCCTCTGCACCTTAGCGAAGTCGGTATTGTACTTAGAGAGATCCCTTAAAAATATGTCATATTAAAGAAATGCATTACTTGATAAAGTACTTGAAGAACATTCATTTAGATATAATATATTTTGGTAATGTCTATAACATCAAATGCATGTGAGTATGATAGGGAAAATAGACTTTCCTTTGCAGTTCTGTTTCCCACCAGCAGCACTGACTGCATTCACAGTTAGTTGTTACAGAAGTCCTGGTTCCTACCTCTCAGGATATGGTATTATTTCAATGCATCAATGATAGGTCAGAATATGTGAAAACAGAAAAACATAGATAGAGAGTACTACTGATACTTAAAATAGTCAGGCTTATGTATAGGTTTAAGTATAAAGTACAGAAAAATGGCCAAGTGGAAGTGAAGGTTGAGGTATCCATGAATATGCAATAATGGCGAAACTAACCAGGTCAAAGGTCACAGGGGTTAGGGTCAACATATAACATGATCAGGATAAACACAGTAAATCACCAAAATAGTAGTATAAGTAGTATATAGTATAGTAGTATATTATACTACTATAGTAATAATTACAATAAACCATGAATGCACCGAAATTTCAGCTGCTGAAATTTTCTGCCAAAAATGGGTCTATCCCATTTTGGCCAAAAAAGGGTCAAATGTGCTGCAAATTACACCAAGCCCAATCCTGAGCGGGTGCACCACGCCCAGGCGCAAGGTGATTGTGGGAGAAGGGGGGGGTGCCATTTGCCCTCATTGCAGCTAACTGATAAGGCTATTTCTGTGCAGCACTGAGGGCTCCTTCTTGCGCTGCACCCTTACCCTCCTTTGTTCTGAAGTGATCCTTTGTGGCAAGCTGAAACTAAGGTAGCATGCAGCTCCATAAGAGAACCCCAAGCCTCCCTTTTGTCATTCTGTGTTGGAGCGCCGGGTGTCATGTGACTACCCGGCGCTCACTTTGAAACATGCAGAGCACGCCGCGCAGGATTTCGATGAGACACCCGTCCTTGCCATGACAGGGATAACAGCAGGGAAGGGGGCTGTCAGTGTGTGTGCAGAGCTGGTGTTTGCTCTGTGAGGGAGACACTTGCCGTTTGGGAAGGAGAGGTATGGATAGATGGAAGAGAGGTATACATAAGAAGAGGGGAAAGTGATAGACATGGAAGAAGGGGGGAGAGAGACATGGAAGAAGTGGGAATTGAAGGATGAAAGAAGGGGGGAGAGAGACATGGAAGAGGGGGAGTGAAAAATGGAAGGGAAAGAGAGACATGGAAGAAGGGTGGAAAGTGAGAGATGGAAAAAGGGGGGAAAGAGACATGTAAGAGGGGGGAGTGAGAGACATGGAAGAAAGGGGGAAGTAAAAGACATGGAACAAGAAGGGAGTAGAAGAAGGGGAGGTGAAAGATGGAAGAAGGGGAGAAAGAGACATGGAAGAGGGGGGAGTGAGAGACATGGAAGACGGGGGAAAGTGAGAGACATGGAAGAAGGGGGAAAGTGAGAGACATGGAAGAAGGAGAGAGTGAAAGATGGAAGAAGGGGAGAACGTGAGAGACATGGAAGAAAAGGGGAGTGAAAGTTGGAAGAAGGGGGGAGAGAGAAATGGAAGAAGGGTGTAGTGAGAGATGGAAAAAGGGGGGAAACCCAGAAAGTGAGAGACATGGAAGAAGAGGGGAGTGAAAGAAGGGGGGTGGGGTAAAAGATGGCACAAGGTGGGGAGAGAGACATGGAAGAAGGAGGAAAGTGAGAGACATGGAAGAAGGGTGGAAAGTGAGAGATGGAAAAAGGGGAAAAGAGACATGTAAGAGGGGGAGTGAGAGACATGGAAGAAAGGGGAAGCAAGACATGGAACAAGAAGGAGAGAAGAAGGAGGTGAAAGATGGGAAGAAGGGGAGGAGAGATAAAAGGAGGGAAAAGAGAGAGACATGGAAGAAGTTGGGAAAAGAGAGACATGGAAGAAGGGGGAAGTGAGAGACATGGAAGAAGGAGAGAATGAAAGATGGAAGAAGGGGAGAACGTGAGAGACATGGAAGAAGAGGGGAGTGAAAGTTGGGAGGAGGGGGAAAAGAGAGACATGGAAGAAGGGGGAAGTGAGAGACATGGAAGAAGGAGAGAATGAAAGATGGAAGAAGGGGAGAACGTGAGAGACATGGAAGAAGAGGGGAGTGAAAGTTGGGAGAAGGGGGAGAGAGAAATGGAAGAAGGGGGTAGTGAGAGATGGAAAAAGGGGGGAAACCCAGAAAGTAAGAGACATGGAAGAAGAGGGGAGTGAAAGAAGGGGGGTGGGGTAAAAGATGGCACAAGGTGGGGAGAGAGACATGGAAGAAGGAGGAAAGTGAGAGACATGGAAGAAGGGGGTAGTGAATGATGGAAGAAAGGGGGAGAGAGACATGACTTGTAGTTTTTCATATTAGATTAATTAAGTTAATTAAAAAGTCTAATATTAATAAAATTATAGAAAAAACTATTTTAAAGTCATTTTCATTTTCATTTTTCGGCCAAGGACATCCTGAATTTTCGGTTTCAGAACAGAATTTTCATTTTGTTGCATCCCTACAATAAAAATAGTGCACAGTATACAGTTCAAAACAGCCTTTTTTTAGAATGGGCTTCAGAATGATGGTTCAGACTGAGCACAAGCTCAGAAGCCCCGAGTGGAATTCAGTTCAGTAAATATGTGTCTTCAGCATTCTGATTTAAATCAAGAGACCACGAGAACAGGCAACGTCCAGATCACTGTCAAAGGCAAGTACACCCAACATACTGTCACTGCCATAATGAAATGCAGCATTGTTAGATTTTGGTGACTTGTAATGGGTTTTCCTTTCCAGAAAAGACAATGTATATCTCCTGTGGCCTGTTTTAACTGAAGTTCTGATTATCTTTTTATAATACGTCTACTATTAGAATCCATAGCAATACAGGACAAAACTAACTCCAAAAGTTCATGCCAATACAAACTAAAGCCTAAGTAAACAGAGCTTCCATGCCACTACTAACTCCTATACTCTACACAAACACAGATCAAAGTGTACCCAGTGGCGGATCCAGAGCCTGATCTCAGGAGGGGCACTTGTAGATTATTTAAAGAAATAATCCATGCACAATGACCACTACAGCTCTGTGTAGTGGTTATGGTGCCAGGAGTGCCGGGACCCCCTCCTAGAGTACGTAATCAAACCATTTAAGAACAGTTTGACAACTTACCTGGGGTCTGCTGGGATATGGAGCTGTAGTAGGGCACAAGAGCAATGGTGTGTGTGAGTGGTGCAATGAGTGAGGGGTGTATTGTGTGTGAAAGGTTCAGC